CCCGACCGAAGGGATTGGATCCCTAATTCTGCCCTGACGGCTGCATATCCTGTGCGCTTGGAGCATCCTAGGATGATTGCCGCTGATTTCATCTGCGCCGCCTCGAGTTCTTTCACTACCTTCTTGTTTCCTTCCCATACTTCTCCGGCGTACTCTAGCGGCGGTACGATTTGATGCGTGTATCGAGGTGCCGGTTTGCGAGTATTGGGTGCAGCTTCCCTGTTCGTGGGGGGAGGGGGGTTACGTACAAGGAATACCCCCATCGGCATGCCCCGCCTGTTCCCTACCCCAACCCTTGATCCCAACCCCCTTCCGGAAGGTCTGGTCGGTGACCTCCGGCCGCCTGATGCTCTGCCTTCGAGGGCACGCGAGCGTGATCACGGACATGGACGTGAGCCCGGACAACTCGATGCTCGTCACCTCCTCCGACGATCGCAACATGCGGGTCTGGGATCCTCGCACTGGGGCGACGCTGACGGTGCTGCGGGGGCACACCGCCGCCGTCAACCTGGTGCGGTTCGCGCCGGGGGACAGCGTGGCCATGTCGGCGTCCGAGGACGGCACGTGCCGAGTGTGGGACCTTAGGGGCCAGGGCAGGTGAGGGAGGGGGGGGGTAGGGAGAGGCCTTGTTTTAGCTTGCCTCAGGTACGGAGGGGGGCAGGTGGGGGAGGGCGAGGCTAGGGAGAGGGCCTTGTTTCATTGTTCTGTTTTTGCTCGCCTCAGGTAGCCACGGCAGGTGAGGGGGGGAGGATAGGGAGAGGGCGTTGTTTGCTCGGCTTCAGTAGGCATATCACCTTTCTTAGGCACGTTGCGCCGGGTATGGGAGTGGCGTCTGTTCCTCGTACTTGTTCGCCTAGCGTATATCGTCACTTTGTACAGTCGTTGAGTTGTTGTTATTATTGTTGACCATACGTCACCGCCATTCATTATGGAGAACCGGGCAGTGGGAGGTTGTTCCTCGTTTTTTTAGTCTCCGTTTGTGAACCATAATCCTTGTTGCTTTCAACGAAGAGCGATGAAGCGCCGTTAGTTCGTGTGAAATAGCGTACGTAGTTCCTCCTTAGCCGTATGCTGCTGCAGATCGGGGCAGACGGCGTTATACAAGGGGCGGCGGCTTGGTTAATTCATGCTGGCGGTGCGCCCCGTGCCTGTCGATGGGTCGCTGGTCTTTCGCTGCGGTTCTTATGCCCTGGTTAGCTTTGGCGCCATGCGTAGCGTGGCGTGTCGGCTGTGCACTTGTCTTGCTTTGCGAGTAGCAGCGCCCTTCACATCCACGCTGCACTGCAGCAGCAGTGCTAGTCACGTCCGCACATCGTGCGATCGATTTCTCCGCTTCAATAAACCATGTTCGTGCTTGCTTGCTCCCCCCCGGTCAATGGTCTTAACAACCAAGGAATGCAAAACATGAATACCCCTCCCCCGCGCGCGCGCTCTCGATCCAATCGTTCTCAACCCCCCCGCAAAAAAGCTTGGCGACGGAGGACGTCGTGCCGATAGTCCTCCCGCACACCAACGAGCAGGGGGGCATGATCCCGGTCATGTGCCTCTCGGTCAGCCCGGCGGGCAACCTCATCGCCGCCGGCTGCATCGACGGCGCCGTCCGCGTGTGGGCCTACGGCGACTCCGACGACGACGCGGCCTGGGGCATCGGCAAGCACAACACCCGCCGCGCTGGCCGCGACACCATCGGCCGCGGCGAGGTGTACAGGAGCGAGGCCCCCCGCCGGAGCATTCCCCCGACCGTGGAGGCGGCGGCGGCGGCGGCGGCGACGGTACCGGTTCCAGTGGCAAGCGGAGACGCGGCGCAAGCAGAGGTGCCTCCGGCGGTGATCCCGCCCGACACTGTCCCAGAGGGTGGAGCGGCGGCGGCGGCGGCGGCGGCGGCGTTCGGGCTGGCGGGCGGAGAGAGCGGAGGCGCCAACGGGGCAGCGGCAGAGGCGGCGGCCGGCGGCGGCGGTTCTGCTGCTCTGCGGCCGCAACTGGCTCCTTGGGAAGGCGGATCGGGCGTAGGCACTGCTGTGAATGGACCGTGGGGTGGTGTGCTCGGGCCCGGTCAAGCGCCGGCGCCCCCGCGGCCCCCTCCTCCTCCTGCCCCCCCGGCGGCCGTCGGGGAGGGGAGGGAGCGGCGGGGACGGCCGGCAAACCGCGGCAGCGGCAGCCGTGGTGGTGATGGTAATGGGGGAGTCCTCGAGGTTCGCCTGGCCACCAAGCTGTTCGGTGAGGCTTGTGTGGAGTCATTCTCTTGCTCATGGCTGCTTTTGCTGTGTGTTTCCGGGGATGGTTGCTGTGTCGTTCATGGCGGAAAACAAGCGGCGGGACCCTTCGTTGTTGGCGCGTTCGTTCAGGCGTGCGCGTATGGCTTGGAGCTAAGTCCGGAGACCTGGCGTTGTTGCGTTTGCGGAGAGTGAAGCGCTGCTTGAAGTCTTGCCCTTGTCCTACAAAGAAGGCTATTGTAGCTCCTGCGGAGAACCTCCACTGCCTGTCTTGCTTTTGCTTGCCTCGCGTGTCGCGCTGGTCGTGACGACTGACGAGAACGCGCCTTCCAGCTCAAAGACAACAACCACACTATAGCATATTGGCATCGCTTGCTTTCTTTGGAATTGTTCGTAGTTCTAGCTTTGAAGATTCAATCTTTGATTTTCAGCCCCTCGTAAGGTATACTACAGTCGTTGTGCCAGCGCTGGATCGACATGCAGAAGGTTTTACAGCAGCCGATGGCGTAACACATCGTCTTCCACGACAGGCCATGTCAGCGGCATTACCGACGCCCGCTTTAGTGGTCTAGGAGACCGAATCCTCACGGCGTCCATGGAGGACGGGACCGCCCGCGTGTACAGCTGGGGGCCGCGGTTCTCCAACGTCAAGCACGTCGTGCTCAAGGTCTGGAGAAACTAGCTTTCACACCTGGGCATTAGACCGCGTTTCACACCTGGGCAAAAGACCGCGTTTCACGCCTGGGCAATAGACCGCGTATGCTGCTATTGTGAATCAATTATTAATAGACCGCCTTGTTCGTGGACCGCCACAGAAGGTAATGCTATTAGAATAGATGAGTCTGTTGCCGTCGGTAACACCCACGGTCGTTGGATTTGTAAGTTTCGGCGCTGTTTCCGCGCGTAATGTCGTCGCCGGTGGTTCATAATTCTCGCGGTGGTTTGTCCTCCCGGACCCCGTGATGTCGGTTACTCCCGTGAGACGTTGGCACATCGTGACCCTTTTGGTATTGAGTGTACGTGTGGTCCAAGCTTGGTCTGTACAACCGAGTTTCTAGTTGAGGGGAGCCGTCCGTCCCTTGCCCGAGATAAAAGTGGGGGAGCGATACAAGGTGCCACAAGGTGTCAGGCGGAACGGTGAACGATGCTCTTGATTGTGCGGAGAACAAAGATGGAGACTTGTCAGAGTACACGGCGTGCTGTGTCGATCCTCACATTGTGTGCCCCCCCCCCCCCCCCCCCCGCCCCCCCCCTGCGGCCATCAACGCAACCTCCACTTACCGTCACCCCGCTCCACACCTCGCAGGTTTGCAGACAGGACACCGCTGCGGCGGGAAGGGCGCGGGGCGGCGGCCGCGCGCGCGCGGGCGGGGCTGGCAAGAAGTCCACGCTAGACGACGCCTGCTGGAGCTGCGACGACGAGATCATCGTCACCACAGAGAAAGCTCCCGCGCTCACCGGAGCTGCGGCGTCTCGATCGCAAGATGAGGCCACGTCTCAGTTCAAGGTGGGTGTTATGTTAGTGGCGGGCGTCTACGGCGATGCGTTCGTGGCAGCCGCCGAAGGAAAGAGACATACGGCTGTCTGATTTGGTGGAGTAGGTAACGCGGGCCCACGTCATCGGGCTCTCTCTCCCCCTCCGGGTGCGTGTTTTGTTTGTAGGCGTCGACCCGCGCTTGCCGGCTGACTATTGAAAAGACGTCAGCCGCACGCGTGTTTTTTTAATTTTTGGTAGCATCGACTGCCCGAAACGGCCGAGGAGAAGACGTCAACGTCAGTCCTCGGCGGGACGTAAGACATTGCGTACATATCGCTTTTGGGTGTAAAGTCCGCGGGCGTATTGTTTTATTTGTATGCGCGCTTAGCCAGCGAGCGCGTGTGCGCGTGGTCGCTTGCGCTTGCTATTTCGGGGAGTGGGCAGGGAGGTCCATTTTGTTAGTGTGTATCGCTACACTGCCTCGGCAATAGCTGCCACGAGTAACAAACCCAAGAGACATGGCGAACAAGTAAGCACTCATTGCTCGACAAAAAAAAAAAACTCGGACCAGGTTAAGAAGCAACCTATACCCACCCTTACGACTGCTGTACCTCAGGTGTGGAGCAGCGAGACGGGGGCCCTCCTCCACACAGTCAAGGACGCCCACGCCAACACGGTCTCGGCGCTCATCCCCCACCCCTACGACCCGAGGCGGCTTGCCTCGGTCGGTGCCGAGGGGACGGTGTGCACATGGGACGTGGGGCGGCGGGGGGGGCGGCGGGTCCGGGCGTTCGAAAACATTCTGGCCGCGGGGCCCCAGTCAGAGCAGCTCCACCACGGCATGTCGGTCGCGGTGCTCGACGGGGTGTTCTCTCCCGACGGGAGCTCTATCGCCGTGGCGGACGTGGTGAGTTGTTGGGGTACGCTGCTGTTGCGGTGGGGGCCTCCTGGGTTGAGAGGGGGGGGGGGGGGGGGGGGGGGGGGGGGGGGGGGGGGGGGGGGGGGGGGGGGGGGGGGGGGGGGGGGGAAGCAGTGGGGGGGTACTTATGTACCGTAGTCGTTAAACTGTAGACCTCGCATCCCTAGAATGCCGGGACGGAGCATAGGTTTTCGCCGGCCCATGCTACGTTGAACCAGGAGGGGGGGGTATTTGTTTTTGGCTTGGAAGACCGCCGCCGTCCGCTGGTGCAAAGTAGTACGGGTTTGTGTTGCGAGAGGGGGGCGGCGGCGGGCGGTGCCTTTTCTGGCGCAAGGACGGCTATTTGTAGAGGGTGACCGTTGCCGGGCTGCTGTTCGTTTGTGACGTGGATGTCGTTGGCTCGCACGCTTCCTTGACTCGGGGCGTTGTGTGCAGTGGAGAGCACCCCTAGGAGAGCACCCCTAAGCCACAACTTTGACTGCCGTCGCTGGGACATTGGGGGGGCGGCGGGGGGTTCGTTTGGTTTGTAGCTGGGCAGAAAGAGAGGCAGCACGTGGTCGATGCAGGGGTGGTCGGGAATTGTTTTGTCTTCGCTGCCGTGATCGTGTGTATTGCGGTGCTCGTCTTCGTGCACCGCAGCCTTCCCTTCCCGTACTTGGCCTGATGCGTGCCACTGCTTGCTTTGTGAAACCTCCCAAGCACCTGACGGACGACCGCCCTGCACGCAACCCTTGTGTGTGTTCCCTATCCTCCTGCGTGGTGTATGCGGCGGCGCCGACGGTGGTGCGAGCAGGTCGGGAGATGGACATTGTACGGCACCGGGCATCGAACGGACGAGACGGTCGCAGGAAAGAAGGTGAACGAAAAAACCGGAGAAAACCAAGCGAGGGCCGATGAAGCCGGGGGATCTACTGTATCTCCCTTGTACTCAAGTTCTAAGATCGGGTTACGTGTGAGCAGGTTGTTTCGCACCGCACTATTTTTTTGTTTTGTTCAAGGTGTTTTGGTGGTTTCGAGCCGTGTTGGCCTCGGTCTAGTGGCTCCTCTTGCGTACCTAGCTTCCGAAGGCGGCCTTCAGCTGGTGGCATTTCGTGGCGTCAAGGGCGACGGGCTTGTGCAGTATGGTGTGCGCGTCGTGTGGTGCTTAAAACATACAAGCAACACCCAACACCTCAATTTGCGTCATGGAGTTGGTGAACGGCACGCACGTCATACCTGATATCCAGCTGGAAATTGAACAGCAGTAGAGTATGATAGCAGAATGGAGCAAGAGTCCGGTACCCAGACGGCACCGCACGACACAGCAGTAGTTCTCCCCCTGTCCTGTCGTGACATCTTGGGGGTTATTCCCTGAACAGAACGGCAACCGCAGCGAGCCAGGTACCCAGATCGCAGCGCACGGCAAGATAGTTCCTCTATCCTGTGAGCTAGCTCTTTGGGGTCATTTACCCCGAAGCGTGTTTTTTTTCTTCATAAGCTTGACACGCGAGGGACGGAAAATTGTTCGATCGATTGATGGATGCATGGCAGGTTCCCCTGGAGCAGTACTTCACTTCTGACTACCGGGAGCTCCTCCGCGACGAGAGGCACAACGTGGTGGATGCCTTCACGCAGCAGCCGCCGCACCTGGCGCAGACGGGCCTCCTTGTGGATCACATCGGCAACGCCTATCCGGAGGATGTCCAGCCTAATACGGTTAGTAGCTGCTGCTGCTGCTGCTGCATGTGTTTAGTTCTGTCTTACTTACGACACCACAAATTCAAGTCTGGTATTGATTATGATAGCAATGAATTCAGCTTGTTGCCGCCTCCGCTGCTGTTTTTGAACGTGGAGGGATAATAATAGTTTTTTTTTTATTGGGTCTCTGTGGGTCCATCGGTTGGTTGTTGTTATTGTGTTGCGACGCGGCGGGAGGGAGCGGCCTCTGACTCTGCTCTGGAGAGAGGCACACATACATCACAGCACGGGACCAGTAACACATCACGCTCGTTCCTAGACGATGTAGTGCCACTGCTGTGTTGTGCACCTCTCTACACTCATTGTGGGCGAGAGGGTGTGTCGCCTCTGCTGCTGCTGCTGTTGCTGTTATCTATAGCGGTGGCGGAAGCGTCCTGTTCAAACAATCAGCAGCAGCAGCAGCACAAGCCGGGGAATTTTCCAACGTATGTTTTTTTTCTCTAGCTGATGACGATGGATGACACTCCCCCCCCTCTGATGATAGCACCCCCCCCTCACGGCTGACGATGGATACCACCCCCCTCGCTAGCTGATGATGGACACCACCCCCCCTCTAGCGAATGATGATGGATACCACCCCCCTCTCTAGCTGGTGATGATGGACCGCCCCCCGTTCTTCTGTAACAGACGCACGAGCCTACTGCAGGTACTTTTGTGCAACCACCACAAAAAACTGTTCCACCTCCTGATCTAGTACCTACGTAGCTTGTTTATGTGAATCCGCTGTTGGGTCTGCGGGCAACGCATTCATGTATGAAGCTTGGGTAAACGAGGAGGCTAGCCGAAACAGCCGTAAAATCTGACCGCCAGTTCAACAGTGCCAGTGTGCGAGCTCGCCGCGTGGTTGGGTTGGGTTCGGATTTGAGCAAAAACCCGCGGTTGTGTGTTCTTTTCTCGGCTAACCAGCACAAGGATCCGAGCTTTGCCCCTGCTTTGGACATCCGTGCGAGACGACGACGACAACGGTAACGTCGGCTCCTCATGTTTCTGCCGCGGCCGCGGCTGCTTTTTTCATCCCCTGACAACAACTGCCACCCACCGACCCTGCTCACTCTACCCAAGCTTGACATGATATTGATTGAGCACCTAACGATGACAACAACGTGGTGCTATTTTGATCCCCTGACAACGACTGCCCCCCCCCCGGCCCCTTTGCATGACGATGATTTGGCGCCTAACGACGACAACGACTACGCGAACCACGACAACAGAGCGAGCTCAAGGGGCCGCTACCGTTGGCGCCGGGTCTGGTAACTCAGCGGCTTCGAGCGGTCCAGGCTATCGCCGCCGACCTGGCGAAGGCGCTCGCGGCGAAGGAGGCGCGGAGCAGCAACGCCCGCAGCGTCGGGGTGCCGCAGCACCTCAGCAACGGCGCGGGCGGCGCCCGGCGGTGGCAAGAGGTGCAGGAGGCAGACGCCGCGGCGAAGGCGATCGCGGGCGGCGGCGGCGGTAGCCGCCGAAAAGGTGGCAGCAGCGCGGCGGCGGCGGCAGCAGCGGGAGGAGGCGGGACCTGGAGCGGAGGCAGGAGCCGGGGGGCGTCGACCGCGCGACAGCGAGGGTTTTACACCGACCCCGGGGAGGACGAGATCTACCTCGATGTCTCTGACGAGGACGGTGACTACGACGCCGAAGACCCGGACTCGGAGTACGACGACGTGCCAAGGGGTAGGAGGGCCGGTGGCGGGGCGGGCTCCCGCAGAAGGGCGAACGAGCCGCTGTCGAGGGAGGAGCGGGCGAGGCGCCGGCAGCAGGCTTTGCTCGAACGGACGGCCGGCAGTGGTAGCGGCAGCGGTGCTCGGAGCAGGGCCGGGGCGCGCGGCAGGGGGGCAGGCCGAAACAATACTGGCGGCGTGGTGAGCAGTCTCAGTAGCGATGAGGAAGAGGAGGAGGACGTGGAGGAGGACGAAGACGACGTGGACGAAGGCGGGGCGGGTTCCCGGTCCTCGGGCCGGCGGGGCGGCGGCAAGAGGAAGGGTAAGGGAAAAGGGAGAGCCCGAGGAAGGCGTGGCGGTGGCGGCAGCGGCAGCGGGGAGCTACCGATCATTCCTGACGAGTTCAACCAGTCGGTCGTCGCCGCCGACTCCGACGAGGAGATCGAGCAGTGGCCGACGGGGGTGGAAGCGACAGGTCCCGGCGGGCGCAGCACTCGCGGGGCGGACAGGGCGGCGGCGGAGGCCGCCATCGCGGCCGCCGGGGGGGTGCTCAAGGTCGACCGGGGCACGCTGAAGTGCGCGCTGTGCCATGGCGGACACACGCGGGAGCGGCCGCTGCCCGGGAAGATCGTGGGGCCCCACCCGCTCATGGACGGGGCCTCGCAGTTGTGGGTACACGACTGGTGCGCCCTGTACAGCCCGATGGTATGCCGGGACGATAGGACGGACGCGCTTTGCAACATCACCTTGGAGGTGCGCGTGTGTTTGTTGTTGGCATGGGAACGGCGGAACCATGAACAAGACGCCGGTATCTCACCGCGGCTGAAAACAGAACATGCTTGTGAAGGCCAGGCCATGATCTGGGATCCCGTGTTGTGCTTGCGTGAATGTGGATTCTTGTTTTTGGGCCTTGCTGCAGTTGTGTGTGCGTTTTGTCGGTGCTTGTGGTGTGACGGGTTAGTCGTTGTTGTGCAGTTGGCGGTTTGTTTGGGTGCGGTGTTGCTGTGCTGCTGCTGTTGCCGCTTTTCCGTCTTTGGACAAGAGGTTCCGAGCTTCGATTCGCTGGGCGAGGCACGTGTTGTCCACTCGTAAGACTCGAGGTTGTTCCGGAACATGTCCGTTTTCGTGAAGTGTCGCTGTCATGGCTGTGTTTGTGGGACTTGTTCAATCGTCTCCGCCTGCTGGTACCCCGCCGCCACCGCTCCCTTGATGTCCTTGAGGGAGGGGCACCGCATAACCCCCCCCCTGCCCCCCCGGTGTTTGCCATCGGGGTTGGGTTTTCGTCGCTTGGCA